TGGTTGTATCTACTGTAGATCTGTAGTACTGTAGAGTTGCAGCGGTTTTGGCAGGTTGTGGCGGGCTTGTTCCAATAAAAAAAAAACTAATTGAATTATGGTTTTCATCACACTAGCACTAAGTAGATGTATGACAAAGTAACACCGTCGAACTAAGTATTGGTATATATAGGGTATGTACAGTATATAGTGCACCTTAATGTGAGGGATGATAGCTGTGATCATTACCCAATTAAACAGCCTATAACCTATATTATATGTTCATCAAAAATGTGCGGTGACGAAATTGTTGCCGACCCATTCGGTTTGGGCATGTCTGCCAACACCGCGCAGTATGTTACATCTATTTTTTTTATTATCTTCTTTTAGTCTTATGATTTAAGCTTCGTATCTTTTTATCTCTCTCTGTTGTGTTAAACTTTTATATTGTTATTTTGTCAAATTTTATATTCTTTTTTTTTTGTTCCTTGCATTCGATGCCGAATAAAACACATTTCATTTTATATCAATATAACAAATATAACAAATATCGAAAAATCACAAAATTTTTAGCAATTTGCATGTCAAGGTGATGATTTTGGTCCCAGCTATCTACTCACGGTATGGTGCACTATTTACTGGACACTCTGCATATACTTATACTCTAACCAAGGACTCCCCCCCCGTCCGACCAGAAACAGACCCGAGCGTACGACGCGTCGCGTCCCGCGCGCGGCTCAAAGAGCCATCAGATCACCACGGACGGGGCCCAACACGGGGCCGATGCCGATATGAAGCCGCGGAGAACCTAACGGGTTACCGGGGCTCCGGCTCGACGTGCAGGAGAAGGAACGGGGTGGTTTTTAGTCAGTAAGAGTCTGACACTCCCTCCCGCCTCACCCAGGCGGGAGCAGACATTCGATGATTTTCACCCCGTAAAAAAAACAATGCTTTTGATAACATTGCTTTTAAGAACTCTTCCATCAATAACCACTTATCATATAAACGGAGCATAACCCAAAGACAATAGCATGATTATTGTAATTGGTTTCAGAGAATACCTAATCCAATTATGAGAATTGTTTGTTTTTTTTTTTAATTTTTTGTTAAGGATGACTGTTCAATTTTGTTTGCGCTTTTGAATATGACATAAACAAGAGTGTAATAAAAAAATTGACTGCCTCGTTGGCCGAGTGGTCGTAAGTGCGACTGCCGGGCAAGAGGTCTCGGTATCGATTCCCGGGTCGGGCAAAGTATTACTGGATATTTTTAAATATTCTCAGTACTAGCACGGAGTCTGGAATTGTGCCCGATATATGGCAATAGGCTCACCTCCTATTACATGGGACTCATAACATAAATAGTGAATAGTGGGTGTTACATTGTACAGGGGTATAGTGTGAACCTCTGCCTACCCCGGGGATAAGAGGCATGATGTTTTGTTATGTTATGTTAATATTCAGTCAATGGCAATTGTGTATCTAACAATAAAAGCTTAGACCATATTTTAATTGAAGACTACAGGAAACACTTTCAGGATCCATTTTGTTTATTTATCAGAATATTTGTACCACATTAAAATCATATTTATATTATTTTGAATAAAATAATTAACTCAAAATGTCATAAAATGATCAGACAATATTATTTGGATGTGCATAAAGTAAAGATGTTGGATGTGCGTGTTAGGATAATGCTGTGTTTACGACGAAAATATGAGAATTAATAAAATGATTGTTGACTGACACTGAATTTCATTTCAATTAGAAATAAGAGATCCATTATCCATCCTTCTGGCTTTAAATACAGCATCAGTAAGACAATACCTAATGCTTTTTTTTAGAAAGGAAAATCATACAATGACTTCTTCCGTCCGAGTGAGGCGGGAATGAGTGTCAGTTTCTTACTGACTAAAACCCACCCCGTTCCTACTTCTGCACTTCGAGCCGGAGCCCTGGCAATCCGTTAACACCTCCGCGCCTCATGACAATAAAAATTACGAACTGTTTTGTATGCTATCGTAAATAACTTCACCTATGGAGTTTCTTGTGCGTTCTTCTCCATAGGAATCTACACCTTGGAATGAGCAAATAGCTTCACTTTTAAATTTCTATTGCTGACGTTCAAAAGTGACTTCCTGGTCTAATTGAAATAAATGATTTTGTTTTTTTTTTTTTGACACCTGCAACACCAAAGGTATCACGAGTGCGTTGCAAGCGCCGCGATGACAACGACTTTCACTGTGACTATTTTGTTATGTTCCTTCAATATAAAGTACCCACTTTTCACTAGTTATGTTGACTACCATATAAATATATGGTACTCACACACATCGAGCTTTACATAACCATCGAGGTTTTAAGTGTGGGAGAGCCATGCTTCGGCACGAATGGGCCGGCTCGACCGGAGTGATACCACGGCCTCACAGAAAACCGACGTGAAACAACGCTTGCGTTGTGTTTCGTCGTGTGAGTGAGGTTACCGGAGGCCCAATTACCTTCCCCTTCCTCAATCTCCCCAATCCCTGAATCCCCAACGAACCTCAAACTCCTTATCCCCAAAAAGCCGGTGACGCACTTGTAACGCCTCTGGTGTTCCAGGTGTCCATGGGCGACGCCGATTGCTTACCATCAGGTGATCCGTCTGCTCGTTTACCGGCTTATGCCATAAAAAAAAAAAAACCAGGATAAACTGAACGTTAAATGTTCGGAAAGATGATGCGACGCGACACCAGGATAAACTGGTTTTGTATAGATTGATGTGTGGCCGTGTGTACCTAAATCGGATACAACGTACTTGAGTGTATTCCGCTATTGCCGGTTTTAGGGTTCGAACTCAAAAACTTGTTTGGGTAGGTATTTGGGTAGCTTTTAGTCATCACTGTTATAGTATAAAACAAAGTCGCTATCCGCCGTCTGTCTATCCCTATGTATGCTTAGATCTTTAAAACTACGCTAAGTAGTGATTCTTAAGGAAGGTTTGTATGTAATACATGTATATTGCACAGGTGCGAAGCCGGGGCGGGTCGCTAGTCAATACATAGTATAAAACAAAGTCGCTTTCGCTGTATGTCCGTATGTATGCTTAGATCTTTAAAACTACGCAACGGATTTTGATGCCGTTTTTTTTAATAGATAGAGTGATTCTTAAGGAAGGTTTGTATGTATAATACATGCATATTGCACCCGTGCGAAGCCGGGGCGGGTCGCTAGTTAAAAATAAAACACAAAAAGGTCAACATTAACACGTTATGTTTATTTTTTTTAATATTCTAAGACTAGGACCCCGTCACATAGTCGTCATTTAAGAATTCGATTTCTTCACATCGCGTACAAATATATGAATGCAGAGATACGCCACATATAGTGTAAGATCAGGTACTTAAAGGAATTGTTTTAAAAAAAACAGAACAAAATGTACAAGATTTAAATTTGCCACGAAACTATATTAAGCACTTTACACATAAATTAAAAGTAATGTAAAATATTCAAGAACAATAAAAAACATAATTCAATAGTTTTGTTTAATATCTGAACGCTATTTAGAACGATTTTGTTAAATAGCAACCCCAATTCTTTCTAGTAAATCCTAACCTCAAAATCTTGTGGCATCAACTCACCACTATAGAACTACATATAGTTGGTTCTTCAGCAAGTTCCCAATTAAGACTGACATTCATATCTCTGACGACCACGAAACAGGGTACATTACATTCATTACAATAGTATATCAAGTATATAGCACTAGCGGCAGGGATCATTTCTACAATCAAGTCGTTAAGAAGGCAATTTAATGCAAACAGCTCGCACATGGTGAAAAATTTATTCTAAATTACTTAGCTTGTGTTTCGTTGATATAAGGATGAAGTTAATAATACAGGTGTCGTTTGTCAAGCAAATATGCACCCATATCAGCTTTTATAAGGTACTATTCGAAACATCTGCTCAGTGACCTTAAACTCTAGTTGATTGTAAAAACCATCGTCGCCTTTACTTTAATCGTAATTTAAGGATAAAAATACTAACAACACATATTATATCATACTATTATTGTCAGCAACAATTGATTTTTATCCAATCTAACAAATTAATCGATACAGATTTTTTTCATAATTCGATTCCGTTTATTATCTGTCAAATTGACGTGTGTCAAAAATGTTACCATTAAACAAAAAGTTTTCAGTCTAGTAGAAACCGTTTTTCGTTTGCAAGCTCTGGAGGACATGTCAAAATATAATTTAAAACATTTTACTGCCAAATTAAGTAGATACAATATAATTGACATATAAATAATGCTGAAGCTTTTATTATGCACCTATGTTATAGGTCGTTATTCGTGGACATTGCTACATTGCGTGCTAAATTCAGTAGCATCTTTTATTTTAACTCCTATACATAATAACGGTCTACATGTTACATTTTGTAATTATTTTTAATAACCTCGTTAGTCACGACTAGCCCAGTCACTCACGTCACACAATCAAAAAAGGAAAGGTAAAAAGGAAACCAAAAATAAAAGAAAAATATCAAAACAAGTTTGTCTTTATTAAAAGTCTATCCGTAAAATAATCTAAAAATAGCATCACAATAATAATTAATTAGCGCAAGGAAAAAATTATAAACAGTTCACAAATTAATAAATAAAAAATCATGGACAAAATAAACGTTTACAAAAACAAAAACACAATTCGAGGATTAAAATAAACGTACATAACATTTTTAAAATGTATGCACGTTGATTGAACTAATACTAAATCAACAAAATATTGTTTTTTCTGTAAAAAGTTAGGACCGACACAGATCTAACTTCGTGCGCCTAAAAAAAAGTCGGCGTGTGTGACCAACATAGATTTGATAAGTACCTAAATAGGAACTGAGCACAACTACGGTTAAATACAAATACGTACAAAATATCTATTCAAAAACAATCGACGGAATAATGCAATGTCCATTCTACTATTCCTCATATTAAATACAAAAATGAATCATTTCGGAAACCATTTTTTTTTCATATCGCAGCTATAATTTGTAATGCGGGTTACACACAGTCAAAAACTGCAAAGAACACGTCTTTATTTTTTAACTACGGCAACCCACACAAGACAAAACGGGGTTACCTTAATTACACAATAAATTACATAAAACATGATTAAAAACTTATTACAAGTAGGTACGCGTGGAACATCAAAATGCATATTATTTAATCGCCCTAATAAATAAAACAGTTGTTAAATAAAACTAGTAGAAATGACTAGTTCCTAAGGACGTTTTTGTTGTAAAATATTGTATAAATGCGAGCCGAAACGATGAATTACTACGGCATTGTTCCTATATACGACACGCACGAAATCTCATGTTATTAAAAAAAGAATATTTTTGAACAGAAATAATTAATATAACAATTTTGTAGAACCTTCTAAACAATATTCCATTGCATAACTAACTTCGTTTCAAATTCAAAATGTCTGCAACGCATACGATTTTTTCCTCAATTATTATTATTTTTAAAATATTTTAACTTCCTACATATTTATAAACAGCGACCTAAGTTCGATATTAACACTATAATTATAAGCGTCGATAAATAATAATATACATACGTTAATAAATAAAAATACTGTAAGAAGCATACAATCAATACTGTTTCCGATTTTGTTACTTCGTTCTTTTTATGAATATGGTTGTCAGTGTTGCCATTGTAGATCAGTCATTTTGTTTACTGGTAATATTGAATTAATTTTATAGATTTAAGCCAAGTTTTTATGCCTTATAGAGATTCCTGGCAACACTGACTAAAGACAAATATTTACAAATCCTGTTTGTTTATCATTAAGTATTGATACAAGATACGAGAGTAAGTACATTTGTTTCAATTATAACACGAATGATTCCTCATCCATTTTAATCAGTATGTTTCATATACTTTGGCGTTTAAATTTCAGATCCTTTATTTTATTAAGCACACTGGGCGCTCTTTTGACTTCTGTACAGTTCTTTATCTCATATCCTTGTATGATTGACATTTTAAAATTCATTTTTATTTTCCCGCCAATATTTGACAACCGCCATGTTGTCGATAGTAAAACCTCTTTCAAATGATCATTTCTAAGCTAACAGTTTGGTATTCAAAGAGCCTGATAAATAAACTTAATTAATTGATAATAATTACATCTTCTTTAACTTTAATGACAAGATTACGATACCTGAGTTACATTTATCAAACTCGATTAATTTACCTATATTAGTTAAATATTTACCTACACAAACATTGTGTTCTTATTAGAAATATCTGTTCGAAATAGGTTTTAAGGATATTTATCCTAGACAACCGAATTACCAACAATCAATCACAGACAAACTACTACCAGGGGAACTCGATACGATTTTATCGATATTTTATATATACCATCGACATTTCCCAACCCTAACGTGTAAGAAAAACGGTATATGCCATCAGTGATGTAGTCGTCCATCAAAAAATATCGATAAATCGCAACCGAGTAACTGCATTCGTTCTTACTTCCCCGATAACGCATCAAATGTATTGCGACTAGATCTACTCACAAGTCACGCCGCGTCACATTGGCATCTCAACATCCCGCAAAGTAAATTAGACTATAACACGTGGACTTAAGTTGTATATTTACACGGGCGTATAGTGCCCGACAGGTTTGTAGAACATTTGGCCGGTGGCAACTCGGCGGACGATTTCTTTGAGAATGAGTTTCTTCTCCTTCTTGATCTTCTTGAGGAAGCCTCGGTTCTCGTTCGCCCGCCGGGAGAGGTAGGGCAGGACCTCGACGACCGGACCGTATGGTACGTATTTGTAGGCGGAGTAACCGGCTTGACCTGGAAAGAGTTAATGGAAAATTGTGACTTAAACTGTATAATCATATTTTTAAGGCGAAAAGAATAATTTTGACGGTTTATCACGATCCTACCTTATCAGACCGTTTAGCATGTGAGATCTCTCAAAAATCCTATAACCTGAATAATTTATCCGATTCTGCAGACATAATCCTAAAAGGCTACATGAAAAATGCTATTGTAACAAGAATAATCTTTTTGCATTATCATCATTATTCTGTACTTTCAAGTGTCATGCCAATTTTACGTATCATCGAAATGAATATTCGCATTTTATCCAACCTACGAAGAAACAAAAAGTATTTTTTTTTTAATTGATTATAATGCCATGAGTCACATACCTAGCGGGAAGGTGATATGGTCGCACATGCCGAGCAGTTGTCCGAAGCAGACGACCTTGTCCTCCGGCTTGATGTCGTGCTCCTTCATGAGTTGGATGGCGTACCGCACTGTGTCCTCGTTGTGGGACGCCACCATTATACCCAGACGCTCCTTGTTGGGGCCCTGTTTAATGTCACAACAACGTGGTTACAGTCGCTGTTATATACTAGGTAGGTACAAACCTAACTTTTGCATATAAATGAGTGTTTCCGTAAATAACTATAATTGTATTGGTTAGCCATTAAGTAGACGGATCACTTGACGATAGGCAATCTACACCCAACACCAGAGAGGTATAAAAGCGCTGCTGGCCACTTCGGAACTCAAAAGGTATCGGTTCAGTTTGGTATCGAATGGTACTACCATAATAGGTCAAACAAATCGATAGAAATCAACGAATATGGTAATCAAGAAGTCGTGAAATCTGTTGAACAATGGAATACTTATAGCTACTTTTTCAATAAAGTGTTGTGAGACTCACCTTGACCCTGCTGAGGATCTCCTTGAGGCACTTGTGGAAAGACACGGTAGTGGCCTCCACGTTCTCGCAGGTGGGGTCATCGTAACCCATCGCAGCGGCACGGGCGCGTTCCTGTAAGTTAGAAAGTAGTCAGAAGCTGAATATATAACACATTTCACCAATGATGGAGCCTTACCTCCAACAGATTGTTGGCTGATATTTTTTGTGAATTTGATCTTAGCTAATTTTATAACTACCATCAGTTTTCGAATAAATATCCAAACCTCAAATATGACCCGAAACCATACAGCTGGTAGAAAGTTATGATTCCTTCAAGATTGTACATACCTGTTCAATATACGCGCCGCGCACGAGCTTGGCTCCCCAGTAGAAGTTCTGTCGCTGCGCCTGCTCCAGGTCAGTCAGGATCTCCTGGTACGTGTTCTTCAGGTACGTCTGGTACGTGTTGAACACTAGGAACTTATCCTGAAAAGAAGGAGAAGATTAGCAGTTAGAATCATCAGCGTGCTGTTGAAAGATATCAGAAACTTGCAGTTGTTTATAAGGGGGTGAAGGAAACAAAATTGCTTTATGAGAATGGTAATATATGGCTCTCTAGAAGAATCTATTCACCTATAAAAATATGGTGATTTATACCATCTTCCAAGAGCAACAAGTAGTCGGCAATATGTTCTCTGCATCCACGTCATACTTCACATCTTCATCAACGTCTAGGCAAAAAGCTACTTAACAATCAAACTCTAGAACTTACTTTATTGTATCTCCTCATCATCTCCAAGCAGATCCTAGATATCGCTGGCTGGAAGTACGTCTGCTCCGCATCAATCATGATCCTGACGTCGGCGTCGTTGGCGATCTTGATGATGTGGTTCAGTCTTCGGAGCATGTTTCGGAACATCTCCTCCTCCTTGGGCGAGATCTGGGAGATCAGACGACGCATCTGACCGGTCTTAGGGTCGGGGACTCGGAACGAATCGGACAAGTTCATGTCCTCGTCCAAAATGTTCGACCAGGGGAACAAATGGACGATTCTGGAATAGAAGGGGGTATTGTCAGATCATTGTTTACGATTTTTGGAATAGGCTTTAAGGTATCAATCATAATTTCTGTTTAATGATATTGACAATGAGGGATTTGAAAAACTGGCTATTGAAGATAAATGACTAATGTATTTAACTGTTAGACAATTTTTCTGGTCATAATGGAATAAAATAAGTATTATTGAATGGTAGGAAAGTTAAAAGCCTACATTGACTCAAAGTATAGCAACATGTTACCAATTAACTAGCTACCAACGAACGACATCACATCAAAAATAAAACCGACGAATTAATATGGAGATTAGAAATGGTCACTTCTTTATTATACCTATCTTTTACTACTAATGGTAAGTAATCGAGCGAGAAGAAAATATTTATCACTTAAAATATTTGCTTCTCACTTTTTCTTATTCTGTGTGAGCGAGAGATGACTATCAAGGTGGCCTTTTTAAAGGTAATATGTACAAACTAGCAACATTTACGAGACAGCGCTTACAAATGTTAAAAGGTGTCGCCACTGACCGGTCCCACGGGAATATGTGGACCACACTGAAAATATCAACTGTAGCTACATTCACCTATCAAAAGAATCAAAATAAAATCAGCTAACAAAAAAATAAATCGCGAACCTGCAAACTGATTGGATTTACTTCCAAAATAAACTTCTGTAAACATACTGTATGGCCAGCAAAATTTTTCTTTAAGAGACCCCTTGGTTCCCTAAGATATCCCTTAAGCAACCTCGCTAACTATCCACATGGAGAATCAACAATAAAGAAACATCGATCAAACTCACCCCTCCTTATCCGAGGTGATCTTTTTCATGAACTCCTGAACCTCCGGCTTGGAGCTGTGGTCTCCGAAGTACCGCTGGAAGTCCTCAATGGTCTTGTGGTGGGTCAGGACATTGCCAGTACCTCCACCGATCTGCTGCATGTAGTTACGCGCGCGCATGATCACTTCTGACAATTGTAGCTGGAAGAAGAATGGTACAATACGTTACTTAAGGTACCAGGGCAACAGAAATACGAAGAGAAGAGTGAATGTATGCAAACTTACAAGTAACTGCGGCCTGCCCAGAGCTGTTAGCTTGACGGCCATCAGACCTGTGCTTTTGGTGATGCCTGAAACAAAAGAAAAACAATTCTAAGGGTATCATACGACGGTATTCAAGTTTTTATTTAGTTTTCCATTTTCCATCAGGATAAAGAATTCTCTTCTCTCTCTCTTAAGGATTAATAGAGACTCTTTCTGAAGTAAGTAATAAAAATGGAAGAAAAGGATTAGGTACTTTTTTAGATAACCTTAAACTTTACTTCTTTACTGCAGCAGCCACCCAAAACCATTTTAGGTACTGGTACACACTCAATATAGCATACGTAATAGCCATGGAACAATAGGTACTTATCATGAGAGAGGGTACAAACATAATTATAATAACTCCATAATAAAGAGATTCTCACCAGCAACAGCATCAATACTCTTCAAGAAGGCCTCCATGTTCTTCTCACACGAGGCCTCGTTGAGGTAGAAGTAGGTCCTGGCGCTGGTGACCTTGTACCGACGGTCAGCGAACCTCTGCTCCACGTGGTACTGCTTCAGCTGACCCTCCTCCTCCTTGTCTCCGCATGCTGATATGGAAGCACTGGAAATAGAGACGTATTGGTAAAGACTTTGACCTGAACAGCCATTTTGGTATTGTTTTAGATATTTTTTCAATGTCCTTTGAATGGTTTATTAAAGGTAGAATTGTATTTTCCTTCCAAAGTCCAAAGTATGTATATATTTTAATCAAGTTTACATTCTCACGGTACACACGAGTATATAAATCTATTATTCTATTAAAGGTATAAAGATATTTCTACTTCACGGAGGTTTGAAAACCCCTTACCTAATTATGGTCTATTTATTCATTCATAGGCATAATTATCCCAACAGTCTCAATACCTACTCAAAGAAAGCATATAAGCTCATAGTCTTGTCAAAACACATGATATTATTTCTGAAACTACCCGGGGAGGTTATTAAGGTGATAATTAAGGTGATCCTTAATAGCACTTTAGGTTCTAATCAACCAACAGGTTTAATGGACAATCTGGCAACATTAGAATTAAGTGAACCAGGTAATTGCAATCAAGACCCGTGTAATGAGACGTTGGAATCATTCCAGTGTAAACGAGACGCCCATATAGACTAATATCTCCGTCCCTTTTCTACTAGAACAAATTGAAGAATTTATTTCGAAATTCTAACTCTCAAAATGAGTAGAAACATTCATCCAAATCGACGTGGAAATACGTTTCATTTGAATGTAAATGAAAACTACATTTAAATTGGTACAAGTAAGGTTGTTTTCAGAATGACTAGAACATAATAATACTGAGAACATGAAAGTACTGTATGGTACTGAAAATTGAACTTTACAGATGTGTGAATAGAGTTTGTTTTCATTAAATATATCGTAATGCGTGACGGTGATAGGCATAGGGCTTAGCCAAGCACGCGTTAGACATTATGTTATTTATTTCAACCTTAAAACATATAAACATAGCTATAGGATACATAATCGCTTGTTCGCTAATAATACACATGGTCAAACTCAGGAATTCGCTACACATACCGCATATACGCCACGATCTGTATTATACAGGCACCGGTAAAACAAAATACAATCTAATGGACTTTACACGACTACGTACTGCCTGAAGTGGTTGTTAGGAGGTGATCCTTATGTAGTGAAATGGGCCTACTGCCTTTATTTCGTTGCGCGAACTAAGACAGTTATTCATGCCCCTGGGACGCGCCAGGCTTCAGTGTTCCGGTATTTCATGGTTGTATCTACTGTAGACCCTGGCTTACAGGTGTTGCAGCGTTTTTGTCAGGTTGTGGTAGACTTGTCCCATTAGAAGGGCCTACTGCCTTTCCCATTTCAATCCTAGACTCTATGTCAATTCAGATTTTTATATAAAAACCCTCAATAATGCTCAATCCTGGAATCTAACTCAAGACCTGTCCAACAGGTTTACAATAAATAATAAACCTAAAATCAGTAGCAGCGCGACAGCCGCCGCGTCACGTCGTATCTTGCAGAATGTTGCTCATGAATATGAGCCACAGGAATGACTTGAAACTAGTCAAATTCCTCGTCAAACAGTTACGTAATCCGAAAAACAAAAACAACCTAAAATCAATTCATTTAATACTTTATCTCTCAACCGTCACTTGGACAAATTACTCCCCGTACACGTATGTATCTAAAGTGCGTTGTACGACATTCATAGCTATTATAAAACACAATGGCACTTTTACATTGATGACTCATAAAGTGTTTAATTACATTTGGTCAGACGTTACGTCTCAGATTGATATCTCTGGCAGTCGGCCTACATCGACTATACGGCTATATGATAGTCAATAAATTAGGAAATTAGTTTTTACTGATATTCGTTTTACGTTAAAAGCGTTATTAAACGAAAATTTTCATAATTCGAGTATTTACATGAATTGACTATTTAAACATTCTAAAATAATTAGATGGCTTTAACTCAATTCACGAATATTTTGTTTTAATAACGTTTTAACTTCAACGGTGCGACAAATTATCATCACTACATAATATAAAACAAAGTCGCTATCCGCTGACTGTCTGTCCCTATGTATACTTAGATCTTTGAAACTACGCAACGGATTTTGAAGCGGTTTTTTAAATACATACAGTGATTCTTAAGGAAGGTTTATATGTATAATACATGCATATTGCACCCGTACGAAGCCGGGGCGGGTCGCTAGTTATCTGTTGTCAAAACGAACATCTGACAATTTCACTCCTCAGGGTTTTTAATGTAGGTAATTGGTTTTATAGGAAATTGAAAATTAGACCATAGTTCATCAAAAGTTTTAATAAGTAAGCTACAATCTATTTATAGCCACTTCCATAAAGTATTGAATTTGAATTGGCGACGGCGATTTTATACAGCAAGGTATTGTTCCAATATTCGGTTCTAAAAGCGGTGCGCTAGAATTATAGACGAGTCCTGACTAGGCAACTATAATCTCTCGTATATGGGTCACCAAATGCTACGTGACCGAAATACAATAGTACCTATTCCAATATTTATGTTGTTGCTATTGAATTATGTTCTAGAAACGTCTATTTCTGAGATTTTCTGTCACGAAAGGGAAAAAACTGCCTCATTGGCCGAGTGGTCGCAAGTGCGAATGCCGGGCAAGGGGTCTTGGGTTCGATTCCCGGGTCGGGCAAAGTATTACTGAGTTTTTTAAAAAAATTCATAGTAGTAGCGCGGAGTTTGGAATTCTGCCCGGTGTATAGCAATAGGCTCACCGACTATTACATGGGACTCATAACATAAATAGTGAAAAGTGGGTGTTACATTGTACAGTGGCATAATGTACACCTCTGCCTAACCCTTCGGGGGTAAAAGGCGTGATTTTATGTTATGTGAAAGGAAAAAACAAGCAATAGGATAATTCTTAACGTCCGTATTTTTGGACGAACCTGCCCAAACGGTTAGTTTGTTCATCATCAAGACAATTCTAACCCAGTCACTTGACTTAGTATTCTTTATACCTCAAAAAACTATTCAGATATCATCAAAGAAGTAGACAGAAAAATACCTCGTGTATTATGTAATAATAGCACTCCAAATAACTCTTCATTTTCAGCTCCGTACATTGACCTATATTTCAAACAAATGACTAACATCGTCCATTTAAAAATAATCTCCTCAAAATCCACTTTCACTGTCAAATTATTGGCAAGCTTCATCTAGATTGATCCAATTAAAAATAAACTTAATCGCGTTAGAATACGGTGTATATTCAACTGTCGGAAGCGATGTAATATTTGCATGGTCGCGAGTCTTGACATATCTAGGTCACGTTAATAGTTCATTGAAAGCTATTTTCGTTTGCGCTTTCTCTGTCGTTTTTATCTAGATCACAGGCGTTTTTTTGCAGTCTGACATATGAATTTAAACTTTATTTGTATTTTGTGTGGTGGGATTATTTCAACTATCGAGGTCGATAGACGGTTAATGACGTTTACATCTGTAGTTTACGAAAATTGTTCATTAGTTGTAGACTAACGTCTGTTAATCGACACAATAGATTACAGAAAACAATTTTGTTCTTAAAATTTTGATTGTTTATGATTTTTAAAATGACTCCGACTCCTAAATATCACTAAATATTACAATTTCAATTATACTTTTATCTTGTATTACTGATTTTATTTTAGGTTACTTATATATCTCTTTTCTACGAATGACATGTCAAAGTGTGCTCCCTCCAAAACTTATATTGTTGTTGTCCACATTGTGTCCTAATTACGTTTGCCATCTAAGTAATACACGTGGAAAGCAATAAATTATTAAGTATTGAGTAAAAACGTTTCATAGTAACATCTGATCATTTCATTAATTTACATAACATAACATCACGCCTTTTATCCCCGAAGCGGTAGGCACAGGTGCATATTATGCCACTGTACAATGTAACACCCACTTTTCGTCCCATGCAATAGGGGGTGAGCCTATTGCCATATACCGGGCACAATTCCAGATTCCGTGTTTGTACTACTGAGATTCTTTTAAAAAACCCAATAATACTTTGCCCGTCCTGGGAATCGAATCCGAGACCACTCGGCCAACGAAGCAATCATCTTATTTTTAGATTAATTCAGTAGGTACTTACTTATTGACAAATTAAGTTTAACATGAACTAACGTTAAAACATATACTATACATAATACGTACTTTAAATAAACCTATTCACAAAATTAGCTAGTGACGTACGTAACGAGAGTTTTCATTTGTCGACATGAATCGAATGAAGCCGTATGTACACGTACCTACTTGTAATTACATCGACTATATCGCTTACACCCCTAGTCACTAAGCGTCACCGGACACCATTAAAAAACCATTAAAAAAAGTTAAATATTCATTTAATCTGGTTAAGCAGTGCTTTTAAAGCCGCCTAAGTGATCCTATTACTAAAAAAATCTATTTCAGGGAGTATCCAATTTAGTTGAACCCGTTTATTATTGAAGACCATTGTTATTAGCTAGGTAGGCCTTTTCATTCACATTCGGCTCGTATTGGGAAAAAATTAAAAGTATATTATACAAACTAGTCAGTACATAATCTACTCAGACTCAGATTCAATCCATCCAGAGCCCAATCTATTTACTTCTATATAACTACTAGTATCATATATGAAAGTACACTTTATAAGTTTTTTAACGTTTGCCATCTAACTAAAATCAATATCAAAAACAATCGAACTAAAATGTAATAAAAAAGTAAAGAAACAACAATGAAAATCTAACTTGAAGGTCAAACCATAATGAACTACGTCATACGTGTGTTACCGACGTCATATTACGGTTACATAATGATGCTATGACAGGTCGAGAATACCGTGGCTGTCAGCTGTCAAACGAGTGACAGCGGCCTTGGACCACAGATATTTTCGTCATGCTAAACGTAACTAAAATGATAAAGAAAAAAAAATAAAACCCGGCAAAGACGAGCTCTTCTAATTTGCTTGGGCCATGCTTTAATAATTCTGTTAAGTGCTCACTCGGTAAACTGCCACTGAAAGAGACGTTATGATTAAAATAAATTAAAAAGGAATACCTATTAAAAAAATATATCTAGAAGGGATTCTTACTCAGTGAACTGTCACTTTAATAACATTAAAACAAAGAGTATATTTAAAAAAACGTAATGTAATAAAAAAGTACGTTAAAAATGATACCTTGCTATTTGCTTATTGAAATTTTTGACGCTCTATTTATCTATGTGAGGCCATAATTAAGACTTTTGAGTAAAAAGCACAAACGATTGTGACGAATGTGCCAACAAAGACGTTAAACGAAAATTACACTTAATTAGCAAAGAAATTAAGTCCAAAACGATTTTGACAAAAGTCAGCTACGCACATACGTTTGTCTACACGTGATGTCTATATTTACAACTAGAACATTGTTGCAGAAGGTTGGACATTACCACAACAAAGAAAAGAGATTTACTTTTGTATTTCATGACGAACACGCGAGCCAAGGCATACTCCATTATGCCTTATTGAAATTCTAGTTACGAACGAAATAAAAACGAAAGACGGAAAATAAGATAATAGATCCTATCAAATTTATAGTTTAAAGAACTAATTAAATACTAGGATATCTTGGGAAAACAATCTTTTCACATTTCTCCTTTCATTTTTTTTACGACATAAGCCGGTAAACGAGCAGACGGATCACCTGATGGTAAGCAAATGGCGTCGCCCATGGACACCTGGAACACCAGCGGCGTTACAAGTGCGTTACCGGCCTTTTGGGGATTAGAAGTTTAAAGATCGTTGGGGATTCAGGGATTGGGGAGATTGGGGAAGGGGAGGGTAATTGGGCCTCCGGTAACCTCACTCACACGACGAAACACAACGCAAGCGTTGCTTCTCGTCAGTTTTCTGTGAGGCCGTGGTATCACTCCGGTCGAGCCGGCTCATTCGTGCCGAAGCATGGCTCTCCCACACTTTCATTATAAGTAAATAAATATTTCAATATTTCCAAAATGCACCTACATAATATTTCTACAACACCTTATTATATTATAACATCGGAATCAGAATAATTGGTCTCATTTTCTATACACGTATGTCTTTTCCCCCTTTTGTAATGAGGCCATAATGGGCCTGAAATCATTATGTTCAACTTACACTTGATCTTCGCCTTGAAGCGGTTGCCATGTGATATACATACGTCATACATAATGGAAAAGGTCGTAACCGATATACGGAGAAATTGTAGTACGTGAGCATGTATGTACATATCAAACGATTCGCACGATATTATATGTTAATTCATTTACCTAGGTACTAGCTGTGTGACTTCGTCCGCATGGAAAATGTAGCCTAAATTACTCCTTAGTACATTAGCCACTTGCCAATGAAAGTCTCGTCAAAATCGCTTCAGCCCTTTCAGAGATTAGTCAGAACAAACATACAAATATTGCAGACAGACAAACAGACAAATATTGTAAAAAAATGTTATTTTGGTGTATGTATCTTTATGTATATTTATATGAATGTAATTTAGGTTAATTCAATACCTATTACAAACAGCTACTCAATTTTTTTTATATTTTCATTCATTGGTCATTAGTGGTTCTTCAATTGTATGCTTAACAACATTTAAAGCTATAAATTATTATTTATATGGAGATTTATTAATATATTTTGGTATAATAAATATCACAATACTTCCTCTATCTACCCCGTTTCCATCTTGGAGGCGATTGGTAATTTTTATTACTCAAAAGACAATTACGTTTAATCCCTTACAGATTTTATGACACGTTTTGTAGATACAAAGAGAATAGATACAATTATTGCTTGAAACAAAAGCAAGTAATTTAGTTGGTGCTCCTCAGTAACTAAGACAATAATTAGTTTTAGAAGCAAGCAATTAAATCTGTAGTTACCTAAGCTACGTTTCTTATGTCGGAATACTCAAACGCTACTCAATTTTAAGTCGTGCTTAAGTATAGTTCTGTCTCTACAAATTCTTTGTAAAATGACAGAGATGGCACGATATTTAAGCACGACTTAAAATTGAATAGCGTTTGAGTATTCCGACATTAAACATTGCCAACATATGTATGTATACATAGAATCATTACTTTACTGTATGCTTGTATTTGGTGTAAAATATATCACAGTAGATTATTACTCTTTGACTGGATTTAGGTGTTACATTTTTCTCACACAATCGAACCAATCATCATCATCATCATTAACAGCCTATAGATGTCCGCTACTGAGCAAAGCCTTTTCTCACACGGAGAAGGTTTGAGCATTAATTACCACGTTTGCTCAATGCGGGTTGGCGATTACAAACTTATAATTAGAAATTATAAGCCCAGGTTTCCTCACGATGTTTTCCTTCACTGTTTGTCGAATCGAACCAATAAAACTATGTAACTAGAGAATTGTATTGTAAACCCGATTGAAAAAGAGTAACCTATGGAGTTTCTTGCTCGTTCTTCTCCATAGGAATCTACACCTTGGAATGAGCAGCTAGCTTCACTTCAAAATTTTTATTGTTGACGTTCAAAAGTGCCTTCCTGGTCTTATTGAAATTAATGATTTTGACTTTGACTTTAACTATGTAATCTCCGTAGCCAGGCTGTAGACTCATCAGAAATCGGTCGCTAAGTCGCAAATCTCATTAATAGATTTTCGACTTATAATTAAAATACCTACGTAATCGCAATGTCCAGATCTAAACTGCTTGTCCTGGGACCATAGAGGACTCGGTAGCCATTTTTTAAACCAGTGGTCTTAGTACGAGTTTCATTTACGTTTAAAATATTCGTAACGAGTAAGCGTTCGGCACTCTGATTGGCCGGCGCCAATGAACCAACCAATCAGAGCGCCGAACGTGTACTCGTAACGATTACTTTAAACGTAAAATAAACTCGTACTAAGGCCTTTGAACTCCGAAAATTAAACGTCACCCCTTGTATGACGGTGTTTAAGACACAATAGAAAACGCATTGTCTTTCGCGTAGATCTACGTACCGACATATCAAAGGTTAATTTATCTCCCCATTCCCAAATAGATAGTTAATAGATAAAATGTTATTCACATTTTTTTATTTTTATTTAGAAGCTTCGAAATAAAAATGTGATTTTAATCATTAGTGATTAAAATAACATTTTGATACTGATACGCCCGGATACTGAAAGGCTACCAATTTTAAATTGCATGTACTTTAACATCGTGCCATCTCTGTCATTTAAAAAGAAGTTCTAGTGACAGAACTATATTCAAACATACATACGTAGCTTCACGCCTGTCTCCCATGGGGACGGGCAGAGGAGACTAAGGAACGCCAATAACTACATTTCCTACATACCTCTTTCGCTTCATCAACAGTCATCAATCTTTTCATCATTAATTTTCTGTATTTAAACGCGACAATATCGCGGCAAAATAGCTTAAGCTTTTACGAATGAATATATTTATTCATTCCATTGAATTTATGACTCCCGTTCGAAAAACATTTTCTTCTATTTTTCCGAATAGGGCTTATTGGAACATGTTTAACAATCCCATAAAATAGGTTCCGATGAAATATCTGTAGGCAAATATTTCAAGAAATAAAAATGCTAATTGCAGTTCACAACACGCAATCACGAATATGTACAGAACCCCGATACGTACGCAAAATATGTCGAAGCACACGAAAATCGTAGAAAGCTATTGATTTTACCGTTATTCACCCTAAAAATGAACACAGATTTAAAAAAAAAAACGGTTTGATTCCCCTATATTAAATGTCAAATTGCATGTCAGTATCATTCTATGTTTTTTACCAGTTTTTACGATCTTCTATTATGAAGAATTTTCCTTTTACGATCGAATTAAAAAGATTAATATAAGTAAACTTAAATTATTTCGATTCCTTTGAGTTTCTGACGTCAAATTAATTAGTTTTTTAAACGCTGTTACAAGTTACTATTTATGGATTTATTTACGTATTTATTTGCTTTGTTTTATACTTAGTTGAATACAGCAAATCAAAATACTTAGTAAATACTAACGCAATAAATACTTTATCTATAGGTACTAATATTATAAAGCTGAAGAGTTTGTTTTTTGTTTGCTTGTTTGAACGCGCTAATCTCCGAAACTACTGGTCCGATTTGAAAAAATATTTCTGAATTCTGTGTTAGATAGCCCATTTATCGAGGAAGGCTATAGGCTATAAAATATCACGCTACAATTAATAGGCGCCGAGCAGAGCGAGTGAACCGCGCGGAAGTAGCTTGTATAAAATCAAATCAAATCACACTCAGTTCAGTAGGTACTTTTTAGTTGTAAACAAGTAAAGTTCATTTACCTCACTTCTCGCTTCTCCGCCTCCTCCTGTGACAAGTCCTCTTCCACGGAGTAATCCAAGATGGACTTCACTCCAAACGAACGCAATCTGGAAATATCGAAAAAAATATATTATTTCACTCTACATACAAACATGAAATAAAGGGTGTCTTCATCACTGTCAGCATCATAATCGGCATACATTTTTGCGTTTGAACCACAAACCGAGAACAAGTTATTTTTTTTTCATATAAATATAACACCTACACATCTCTGCATATCCCTTTTAAGAATAACTTTAAGCGTGCTATTACATCAGGTTTTAACAAATGACAATTTCATACGATAGAAAATAGTACCCATTAGCATTGAATTAAAATCTATTATAGCAATATTACATAAGCAACAAAGGAGCAATATGCATACTGTCATTGCTCACACGATATTATTAATTGCATTTCAACTCGTAAAATAGTATAGTTTATTATGTATGTATAATACACTGTAATGAACAGAGGTAAGCTCATCACCAAGGAAAAAAAACAAAATGACAGACAATAATTTATTGGTACATATGTACGTATTAAGATTATTTTATTTACATATTGTGATGACAAGAGCCTACAGTTAAGTAAATAATGCCTGTATTAGAAGACTCGAACTTGTCGGAAACATACGCCGTCTTCCGTTTATTACAACCTCCTTATATTTACTAGTACCCTGGTACCAAGACTACCTCGCCCGATGGTGACTATGAACATTTCATCTTTACAAGACCATTAGAAAACAACTTGGGAGTAAAGTAACAGAGCCACTATCGTCTTTACAAACATACAATATCACATACCCGTCACACCCAGGCCCGAAACAATAATTTGTGGACACACAAAGAGTTGCTGCGTGCGGGAATTGAACCCGCTTCACGTTGCGCGGCAGCCGGTTGCCCAGCCACCGCGCCAATTGCAGTCAATTGCGTTATGAGTTTCCAATGAATAAAATAATTGTATTAGAAAATATTTATCAAGAAATGAAAAAGAAAAACGTTAGTGGGGCCGTTTCTTTGTTCATAAGTGTAGATTATTCAATCCAAGAAACAAATTTTTTTATTGTTTTTAGCCACAGCGTTAAAACTTGTTATATCGCTTCTATCTTTATTTCCTAAAATTAAAATCCCATGAAACAATTACCTCTCAATGGTTGGTTTGATGGTGTTTTGATCCTCGCCAGCGACGAACTGGCCGTAGAAGGTGGCTTTCATGATCAACTCGAACATTCGCTGGCCCACCACCTGACGCAGCCTCTTCATCAACTGAGGACATAGAAATGACAATTATTAAACTTTTGGTTGAAACAGAGGTACCAACTGATTTGAAAGTTTTTTATAGGGGGAAAATGGAGCCCGTGGATACTTGTACGTAATACCAGAGGTGTTACAAGTCCGTTGCCAGAATTTTAAAAAGGAGTTCATTCTTTTCTTGAGCGTAACGAAGGTATTATTGAATGAAGTATCTACTGTCATGCAAATGTCAGTGACGTAAGTACAGGGTGGGAAGTTGGCAAAATGCCACGGGCCCCTAGCTAGACGGCATCCCGTTCAGAGGTTTTCATCTAAACTTCTATGTTTTTTTATTGGGAATGGGAGCCTATCCGATGGAATTGCCACGGGCCCCGAACGGTTACGCCACTACTAATGGTCCAGATTTTATTTAGGCACACAAACACCTTTTTCAGGTGGATTAAGCTTCTTCTAAAGGAAGCTTACAGCCCCACAAATTTCATTAATTTTAATCACATTCACCCATCAGTCTGTACGTACATACAAGCGAATATTTTTTTCTAAACTTTAACCATCATTTCATAGCCCTTCTCCACCTTTGCAATATTTATACATCTTTCATAACTTTAAACAAACCAATACAAAATAAGTCCACCTGTAGCTAACTCCTTATATACATAAGTACCTAATATACGGGTGTAGTATTATGCTAATCTGAAATTCATGAAACTAAATTTTTATTTAAGTCCCATCTCCTTTAATTTAGATGAATTATACTTTCAAAGTACTTTTCAGGTTGTTTACATCTAATAGATGGAAATATCTACTAAATTAGGAAAGTTTGACATAAAGTACAAATTATAATGAGGGAAAAGTTCAGAGTTGTAATGGATCTATAAAAACTGTACCTATAATGTTACTATTTCGTGTCCTGATGCAATCGAAATTTATTTTTGACGACAAACTATCTACTTGTACTCTTTTAGAATTCAGGTGCCTTAATGACACTGAAAGTACCTATAATGAAAGAACAAAGAATATTTTTTTAAGTTACGCCTATTTACTCCTTTCCATTTACTCTAATTTTTTGAAACTGAAATCAATATTAATTATAATGTTTTTCGGTTTACTCACGTAACTGTTTGACGAGGATCTCGACTAGTTTCAAGCCACTCTAGGGGCTCACGAAAATTATATGTAATACAAATGAAATCCAGATAATAAGTAGGAAGAAGCGAGTCAGTCTCAACACAAGTATTGTATAATAACTTACTGGACCGGCCTCAATGTTAGACAGATATTGTAATTCTTGAGATAATAAACAATTTGAATTTGAATAAGTACTTTGTTCAATACATAGATCTACGTTCGGATGTAGATTCCTGTTCCTGCGGAGCAGTTCTACGGTTCGACAGTCTAGTCAGTAGACTGTGGAACTGAAGAACTGTTCTAGAATACTATTGATAAGGATAAATATTAATTTCCTAAGTTCACCGTCACTTAGCTACACTGGAACCTTATTGAAGGTTCTCAAAGAAGTCTAGTTTAATGTTAAGACTATACAAATAAGTTAAATTATAACCACACTGAAACTATGTATTGTAGATACACGGAAATATAACCATTAGTGAATTGTCTTAAAACACATATTAGCATGCATTTAAAGGACCGTTTTACCACTCTGAACATGTCACCTGTTTAAATAAAGGCACAATACTTATTTAGCTATAATCATCTAAACTTAGTTCATGTTCCCACGCTTAACAAATATTACAAGTGATTTTGTGTTCTATTTTAATAGACATAAAATTTGAAATGGTTTGTACTTAATGGATCGCTTTTATTGCAAAATTTACTATTATGGCAAATCGCCAAATACCTCATATTTTGGTGATTTAAGTAAATTAAAAAGTTTATTTGATTCATGGTTATGAGTACGACTATTGGCTACTTTGGCCAGGGACACTCATTTATTTTAAATGGCTTTATTCACATCAGAAAAAGTGATCGATCTGAGAAGTCTCAAGGACGGTCCCGGTTTAATGTAATTTTGTTTTTTTTTTTTATGGGATAAGCAAGCGGTGGTGGCTTATTCATGAATCCAATTCCGATCAATCGACATTAGTATTGTGAAATTTCGTACTCTTGAGTCGCAACACTAGCGCCCATTGCATCCGTATTGCGTGAATATTTAATGAACTAAATAGTATTGAGGTTGGCTTTGTATTCCGTACTCTGAATGCTATTTTAACAGCTACCATAGGGGTTGTATAGTGTTGTCATTGAATAATTATTGAGATTTTATTGGATTGAAATTGCATAGACATTGAGATTGGTTTCAAGAGTAAGCACCCAGATGGTAATCGGCGCGGCCCATGGACACCCGAAATACCAGAGGTTACCGGCCTTTTTTGAATTAGGAATTTGAGGATTATTGGGTATTCGGGGTTTGGAGAGGGGCATAATTGGGCCTCCGGTAACCTCACTAACACGACGAAACACTACGCAAGTGTTGTTTCACGTCAGTCTTCTGCTCGGCCGTGGTATCACTCCGGTCGAGCCGGCCCATTAGTGCCGTAGCATGGCTCTCCTACGCTTAAGTATACTTATTTATCTAAGTATACTGTACAAATCGTACTGCCGTACTAAGATACGTTTAATGCTTGCTTATTGTAGACCTTGGTAATCAATTTGTTTGGAAAACAATTACTAAGGACTCTGTTAAATAACCCTATATTGACTCTGAGTTTTTTTTAAGAAGGGAAAGTCGTCGAATGACTGCTCCCGCCTGGGCGAGGCGGGAGAGAGTGTCAGACTCTTATGACTAAAAACCACCCCGTTGCTACTCCTACACTTCCGAGCGGGAGCCCCGGTAACCCGTTAGGTTCTCCGCGGCTCCGTATAATTGATTCTGAGTATGACGGTATAAGCTATTTGTTCTTTGAGCACCTAAGAAGAGAAAAATGTCGGTCAATCCTCTCTCTCTGCAATGCGCAGAAGCGTATCGGAATTCTATCAGATAACAACATATAACACGGCTTCCACCTACGCCGTGTTTCATGTTTCATAAATCTTTTTTATAACTTGGCAACCAAGTGTTACTAAGGAGAAAAAATAATACCCTTCCTTCCTTTTATTCATGTGCACATTACAGCATTTAATGCCACTGTCCAATATAACATCCACTTTTCACTATTTATGTTACGAATCCCATGTAATAGAAGGTGAGCCTATTGCCATATACCGGACACAATTCCAGTGCTACTACTACTTAGAATTTTTATAAAAACCCAGTAAGACTTTGCCCGACGCGGGATTTGAGCCCGAAATACTTTGCCAGACGAGATCGTTTGTTACATAACAATATCTGCATCTCTGCATACCACAACACCTTGAACGCCATGCGGGATAAGGTATGGGCCACGATAGCGGAGGATTTACCTTCAACAGCTTTCTGTCGGCAGTCAAACTGTTAATGGGATTAAAATAATGACCTTATTCATACATCCAAGTAAATTTAGAACTTGATTATACAAGTGTGCAATTTGAACATTGCCAGGTGGCGGGTTCTTGTAGCCGTCAACCTTGGCAGTGAACATTTGAACATGACATAACAAGGGTACGCGTCACTACTACGTCATGATTCTAATGATTCATACATTTATTGCGGATTCGTATAGATTAGGATAGAGGTATATTCTTTGTAGGCATTAATTTTAAATAAATTATTATGTTTTCGGCTTACTCACGTAATTATTTGACGAGGAACTCGACTAGTTTCAAGCCATGCTAGAGGCTCATATTCATGAGCAGCATTTCGCGACCTGCGACGCGGCGACTGTCGCGCTGCTACTGTTGAAACTAGTCGAGTTCCTCGTCAAATAATTACGTAAGTAAACCGAAAACATAATAAATAATTTAATATGTCTCACGAAAGTTATAATACCTTAATTTTAAATTGCTATTTGAGAGTACATCTGTCACCACCTCCTCTCGAGGGTGTAGTATTTGTAAGACCAAGGGTCCAACAGAGACCGACTAGCAGTGCTCTGTACCTTTTTAACCGACTTCAAAACAAAAGAGATTCTAAGTTTGACCTGTATGCATGTATGCACGCCTTAGAATGAGAAAGTAGCTCCACTTCAAAATTTTTGTTTTTGACGTTCAAAAGTGCCTTTCTGGTCTAATTATAATATGATTTTGACTTTTTGACTTTTATGTATGTATGTATGTTTGTGCACGATTATCTCGCGATTGGTTGAACCGATTTTGATACGATATTAAAACAATTAGGAGAAGGTTTTAGTATATTAAAAATACAAAAAAACGGGGGTGGAACTCGGTTTTTTAACGTATTTTATAAAAAAATATTTCAACTGGTTTTATCTGGCTTGCTCAGACCGCGCACGCTGCTCATGAGGAAGAACTCCTCTGTGATTCGAAACTAGTATCAGTAGTAGTAGTATCAGTATATTCATATGAGTAACCCACGCTTTTTAGTTAACTTGCCTTGTTCAGTTTATTTGTTTGTTTTATAACTTTTATAGCATACATAAGTACTTCAAAAAGCATCGTCAAGTAATTCATATTCTATTCTAAACTTACATTTATTTCTATCTCACGAGTACATAAATCTGTCTATCCAGTATCTACATAGTTACTGTAGTCATCCTTCGCGCGACCTTCCAAAGTCACTTTGCCAAAAACTTGATACGCGAACACAAATGCATATTATACTACTCTTTTTGTATTGAGTTGCAATTTAAGAAACTGTTCTAAAAAAAAGAATAAAGTCAGAGGATATATTTATAGACTTAAATGTGGCCTTGAAAATGTGAATTTTAAATTGGGTAGTAGCCAGGGTAAGAAAATTAAAAATCTAATTAGTCCGTCAGTTATATAATTAAAAAATATTAGACACGTATTTTTTTTATTTTCTTGTATAAAGCTACAATACTTAGATAAACTGGTGTTAAGTTTAGTAGTGGGAGGTTGTTACGTCATAACGTGCTACAAAATGTGGTACGCTGTGA